CACATGGGAGGTAAGCAGCGCAATAATAATGTTTTTACCTATCATAGCCCTCCATACTCTGTTCCTTTGGTTCCTTCAGTCCAACACCATACACATCTTGCATAGACGGCAACAACTCCTGATGAACAAAGTAACACAATAACACACATCCTACTTCCCTCCGCATATGTTTGACAGCCATCTCTCCCAGAATTACTTTTCACTTAACATCCCACAATAGTCTTAACACTACATTGGAACTCCGTTAATCCGGTCACCAACAGACCACAAAAATCTGGCCGTATTAACGGGATGGCGGGATTAAACGTGTTTTACAAATAAGAAAATGACTAAGGTTTTTTGGGGGGCCAGCATAAAGTGGTCGTAATAACGAGTAGGTTCCATGTACTTCTTACAAGAATGCTACTTACGATGAGCAAGAAAATTACGTTTCTTGGTTGTAATTTATTGGTTGATGTATTTTTCTTTCCCGCTTTTTATCCCATATTCAAGTAGGCGGGCAATCTTGACCAAAAACCAAATTCTCCCGAGGACAATGAAAGAAAATGTAAAAAAATGTATAATAATAGTTATGACAAGTTAAACTAAACACAACACTGCATACCTGAAAGGAGACATAGCAAGTGCTGGTACTGTTGTTCTTTTCTTGCAGAGATATGGCTGAGCTGTCATCATCAGAGCTGGAGCCATCATCACTGCTATCATCCACACTAAGCGGCTGGGGTGCTGCACCCACTGCTCGGCGAGTAGGAACAGGGCGTCGGCTACAGTGAATAAAAGATATTAAGCAAATAACACAAGAGTTAGGCTAGTAAACTAATCAAAGAAACACGATACAAAAACGTTTTCTTNCTCATCCGAAGGCGATTCTAGAAAACACAATAATGGATTTCTTCGGTTACCGTGTACCTTCAGGCGTATCTCCTGGACAACGGTTGTAGCGCCTCAGGAAGGAATACATCACAGATACCCTAACCTCTACATGAAATTAATGCTTATAGATCTGACTTCAAAAACTTTATCAGTTAAGATTTCCAGAAAATGATTTATCAAATTTTCCGCGAAGTCTAAACTGGAAAATATAAGTCATTTTTTTAATTTCCAACTCAACACGATTCCGATAGGTCAGTACGGTCCTGTCTGTGGAATTCTTGGACAAGAGTGAAGGCAATTTACCTTTGTAGTGCCTGTCTATACTCGGGTTATTAAGTATTGCGAAAACTTGATGGCGAAACTGGACGAAACGCTAAGTGCATCTTGCAATGGACTAGGAACCCATAGAGTGTGAAAACTAACAGTCGGTACGTGCTAAAGACTTTGCATTTGACCTCTTGGCCTGGGAGCAGACGTTACTAGCCTACACTTGGATTGACGTGCGATTCCAAAACTAATCTATTTTCTCACTCTCACCATCACTGGCATGTTTTTGCACCAAGTCGTGATTGGTAGGTTCGATTACCAGCTGCTGTTGGGATATGAGACCGTGCAATTCGAGAGAGGGGCGGAAATCGAGCAAACGTGAATGGTCAACGGCTCTGTTTGACAGCATCATGATTGGTTCATCGGCGTTAGACTAAATTTCATTACTGCAGTAAAAAGATCATACTCCGTTTTGAAATTATACCAACCGTCAGGAGTAGGGTGAGGTAAGGAGTTGACCACTGACTGATCCCACCACTTAGTGTAACTGAGAAGGAAAGGAAAAAAGAAAGAAAGCTGTACGTTATCTGAAGAATTGAAGAGACCAAAAACACCGTTGTCTGTAGCCTAAGCAAAGAGCTCTGTCCTCTGTTGCTCAGTTCTTCCTACGCTCCAGGGACGTGGCAGACTGGACCCAAAAGGTTCCACACCGATGACGTAGCTATACGAAGATACGTGCCGTTTCTCTGATTGGTTTTCGCTGAGTTTTGACACTTCGCTGGCAAATAACATCTAATCCCCAGTCAAAGACAATATCCATGGCTCTTCCACATCAAGTCAACAGTATGCGTTTTTTTTCGGGTGGAATCTCAGATGTTTCTCATGGAAGGAGACAAGCAAGGAAAGAATCGAGCGAACGATTCTGGTTTGTTGCTGGACACGTCGTCTTTGCTTATATTACCTTTTTCTGTTTTTAGAAGCTCTTAAGTCCCAAGTTGTGTTGTGATGTAAGTAATAATCACTTGGTAATTCCCAGATGTTGTGTTTCTCCTGCAGCGGTGAAAATATTCCAAGAAACAGATTCATGGCTTGCTGTTTGTCGGCATCTGCAAAGTACAATACAAACTGAGACAGTTACACGACGTGTAAAGCTATAGGAAGCGCGAGGAGTTATGGTCAGTGCGCTGGATTTCGGATTCAGCAGTCCGGGTTTGAGTCTTTGCCGCGGCCATTATATTGTGTTCTTAGGCAAGACACTGGACTCTCTTTCAGTGCCTCTCGCCACCCAGGTAAAAATATCGCCAGATTAAGAGACATACAGCATTTAAAAATGCTGGAGATAACCCTGCGATGGACTAGCGTCCCATCCAGGGAAGAAGAGAAGAATATACTCCGATGACTCAAGTCACGCGACAAAACGTCTCGGTACAGGACCGAAAGTTCAAAACCACAGAAACCGGATATAAACGCAGGCCTGTTGGGCCTCTAGGCTTTTTTTGTTACAAAGTAACAAAAAGAAAACAACAACAACGACGACGACGACGACGACAAAAAACAACAACAACTACAACGACAACAACAACAACGACAACAACAACAACAAATAAATTGGTAGAAAGTCTCTCACCGGTGAAAGCGTTGCTGTAGTAACGAGATACAGTCTGCATGATGTCCCTTGAGTGAGATGTAAATGGTGACACTTTGCGATAGGTGCGAATGCTAAAAAGAATAAGATCGCGACAAATTGGATTAGATGTCAGTCTCGCCTCAAAATACTAATTCTCCAAACTAATTGCCACACATTTCTTCTGACGCTCCTTTTCAGAATTTGGTGAAACATTAGAAGAATTCCTCTATTAATAATTTTCTTCACTTTCATTCATCACCTTTCTGCTGGACAATGTGTTTGATATCTTCAGGAGTGATAAAAGTACATAATTCAAGAAAAACAAGCCTCTTACCCATGAACAAGCTGTGATCCACCATACTGTAGCGCAAGTGTGTCGCCGTGAGCCTCATAGAGATCTTCTAAAATCCTAATAAATATTGCAATAAATGCACCAATTCATAAATCACCTTATTCCAGAAACCAAAGTACCATATGTTTACAAATATGCAAATTATAAACAGAGTAATAAATTTCTCAAACAACAAAACTGCCTAAAGTAAATAATTTGAAATAAATTACAGCGAAAATTACCTGCTCAAATGATTTGGAACAATGACGTTTCAAGCATAAGCCCTTCATCGAGCTAAACTAAATGATCTTTTTTTTCAGAAACTAATCGGAAAAAAAAAACTAAAATTCTCCGGAGGCAAGGTCGTAAAGAATATGTGCTAGACATGCTACTCTTGATGTTGCACTGTCTAATTAAAAGAAGACAGGAGCCCAGGAATTGATTAAACATACCTTACGGCATCCGAGTCAAACTGCACAAATGGTTTGTCAATCACTCCTAATGCATGCAACTAGATAGAACATAAACATGATTTAGTATGCAGCAGCATGCAGTTGATCCACCAACAAAGTGCTCTAGATGAACTTTGTCGTGGACGATTTTTGTCATAAGAATGCATCAATTAAAACCTCGTACCCAGGGTCTCTCTTCTTCCCAGGTTGAGAAAGCATGAGACTGGGAGGAACATTGTGGGAACTTCTCCCTATTCATGAACAGCGTGACTAGCACAGGGCTTGTTGTTTGTGATTTGAAGCTGAATCACTTAATTTGTTTAGAAATAAACAAACAGATATATGCAAATTATTTACAATCAAAAGCATTTATACCTGAAAACCAAGAGCGCATTTGCCGACCATGAACTGAGCAGTGTTGGTTCTGTCCAGACAATCCACGCAGTTTGTCCTAAGCACGCCATTCTAGCAAAGGAAAAACAGAAGCATGTGTCACTAAAATATAAAGTAATCGTGGGAATATGTGTAGATGAGAAAAAGCAGGAACTGTGACAATTAAGATGTATGTAGGCAAAGAAATGATGGAAAATGTTTGTTACACTTGGTGGAATATGAGAAATAATTCATGGGTGACTCAAGCTAACCCAAAAGAGAATTCCAGATTGTGAGGAAGATGAACAGATGTGGAGGTGCACGTGTCATGGAAACAGGAACTGCACAAGGAACACCTTGGAATGGAATCAGAATGTTGCATAGTCTGAAGAAAGTTTATTATAGTCAAAAATGCAAAGATCAGAGATCTGGGATAAGAAGAAAGGATGAATATCAAGGATTTACCAGTAGGCAGAGAACCAGAGAAGGCGATAAAAACATTGACCATATGATACAAGACAAGTACATACCTGTTCTCTGCCGAGACAATCATCTGAATAGCCAGTGCCATACATGCCTGTCAACCTAAAACATAGGGTTTATATTTTTAAGTGTTGCCTAAAAAGAGAGTTCACAGTATTATCTTTAACAGGAAAGATGCTCTCATAAGTCAATGCTGTTGATTTTTGTCTGGCTCATCACCTGACAGTTTCTTATTATTTTGATATGTTAAAGAAGGTACAGGTGGCTAGGATTGCTAATTTGGGTCATGTAGGTTTCATGATTGTTTCCCATATGCTGATATATAAGTCATCATATCAACCTTTATCATAACTTTATTATTAACAAGGTATGGTTAAGGCAAAGGGGTCAAGCCAAGAGGCCCATTTGGCCAGAGCCTATCCTGATTTCTGTAGCATGATGCAACTAGGAGTATTTCTACTCCCCCCTGGATGGATTATGCTAAACACAATGTCCCCAGCCAGGGCTCAAACCCGGACCACTTGGTCCAGAGACAAGCACACTAACCATGTGGCAACCACGCCTCCAACTTAACAAGGTATGCAAGAGCATTAATTGTACCTTGAATCTTTTCTGATCTGGTTGCAGTACAATTCTTGTCCACTGTGGAAAAACCCAGTGGATTTGAAAACCTGACGGAATTTTATTCATTAGTACATGATTCATAAAATAGAAGGATATATGCCACTAACACATTACTTTACTTAGAACTGAAATCAAACTGCACTAAGTCAACATGATCATTAACAAGATAGGGTAACACAACATCACTCATCGATAGTTTCAACAAATCATAGTAGTACCTATAGCGTTATGTTTCCCCTCACAGTATTCAATACATGTAATATACGTGAAGGGAGAATTTTTTACATTAAGTTAAATCCACTACTATGGAACCTCAGTCTTAAATTGGACACACAAAGAAACAATATGGTTCTATCTTCTCAACAAGTGCAGATTCCCATCACCAGAATTTTATCACAATTACAATTGGAGTATCAGGACCCTAACATTTAGACTTGAATAAGTTTCTTTAACTAGCTTATTGGCACTCTATTGACGTACTGATTTTATTAAATTTTAGATTTCTTACCAGATTATTTTATTACAATTTGGGTTGCGCCTTGCATGGGATACTTTTCCTGTTTGCGCAATCCATTTTGGTCATTTTATTTCTACTATTGACTTACTATATGTGTATATATTTAACTTATGGGACCAATAAAATTGATAAACAAACCTCATCAGCAATGACAGTTAGCTTCTCCATCACATTACAGTCTTTACTGTTGTCAAAAAGAGATTTACAGTATTCAGAAAATTTGGTAAACCAAGGGTGCTCTAATAGAATGCTGCTTAAGGCTTCATTTCTATTCAGAAACTTCTTTTACAACACACCCAGTAATGCTTCACACAGCGCATGTTACAGACCAGCTGCTGCAATACTGAGTAACAGTTTTTCTAAATATGCTACCTGATTATTAGTGTTATTTATTAATAATAAATTATCAATTATTAATACATCCTGCTTTTCTATTCCCTACTTGCACAAATCCCATAATACACCTCTTTTACCCCCCAAACATTTGCATAGGCATTGTTTTAGATTGCTCTTGGGACATCTTCATGTCCCAGGAGAAATTGCAAACAATGATTATGCAAACTTTTTTTTGAAGGGAGGGGGGGGGGGGGTTAAAAGAGGTGTATTATGGGATTTGTGCAAGTAGAGAATTGAGGGAATCACAAGCCCAACTGGTTTTTATTAGGTTTCTTGCCATTTGTTTATTTATTTTTCCCATGTAACAAAATTGTTGATTAGTTTATGTACATGTCAAATGATAAATAAATGGGTAAATAAATAAATTTGTAAATAAAATAAATAAATAAATAAACAAATGTATTGCTCAAGCCTTTTCACCTTGTAATTTAGACCTTTGTTGTATTACATAACCTTAATCTCAATATTTCTGCTTTGTATACAAGTCACTGTTCTCGTAACTCGCAACCATTGAAAATAGCTTTTTGGTTTTTAATTTTTAACCTGAGGAAGGCAGAACGGCTGAAACGTTGGACATTAAACTCGTCCAGAACAGTCAAGAGTTGGTCTCTTCATCGCATCTTTAATGCACACTAAATTACAAATTCACGTCAAGACATTGTATCTTGCGGATCTTCTTACTGGGAGTTCATCGTTAAGTAAACCAATTTTACACTGTTTAAAGAAATGTATCAATATAGAACTGTGTATGTACCACAAGAGTCATTAAAGGGATTATGCGAATAAGTTATGAAGCATAAATGTACAAGGGCTGTTTAGTACAACTAGTTGCAGGCGATAAACTAATGCTTTGACAAGACAGACTACATTGCCTAGACTGACCTCTTGTTGTATCTAGCCATGTCCCATGCTTTGTACTGTATGGCATGCTGTGCTGGTAAAAACTGGTTCAGGTAAATCACGGCCCTCTCCAGTTCTTCACTAAGAATCTGCTCATGTCGCTTCTTTTCCTTCTTCTACAAAATTAAAAGGAAATTTGAGTTTTGCATTGAAGTTAACAAACAAGATGAAAGTGATGATGGAATTCTTCTCTAGATGTTAAGGAATGGTAAGAAAGGTAAAGTCTGCATGTGAGCCCAGTGACCCCCAGTTTCTGTAGCATGAAGCACCTAGGATTATTTCTACTCCCCCTGGATGCAATGCTAGTCCATCACAGGGTTGTCCCCAGCATTAAATTTGCCAGTACCAATTTACACACTTGGGTGGAGAGAAGCACTGTAAGAGTTAAGTGTCTGGCCCAAGAACACAACACAATGTCCCTGGCCAGGGCTCAAACCTGGACCACTCAATCCAGACGTGAGCATATTAACGATGAGGCCACCGCACCTTAACAGCTGCTAACTAAAGGAATATGAAATAAAAATCTCACCTTGACAAGATTAAGAATGACCACAGGAGCTCCAAACCTTTTCAAGAGTTGATTGAAATGCTGACCGGCAGCTGAGCAGAATGGATCTGCACGGTCAACTAAGAGAAAATGCAAGTGAAACTTAATTGAACACCAAGAAGAGGATCTGTGTTGTGGCACTCAAAAGCTAACCCTGTCAAACTCAGCATCAATATGTAAAATCTTCATACTTGTCTGCTTTCATTTTGTTGAATACATGTACTCTGGGTAGAGCATGGTTTAATATCAAGGGTTTTTTTTTCTTTGGCAGTTACACCTATTAATCAACTTCTACTGATTCTGTGTTCAGGTTTAAGAACAGAATTTATCATTGGATCATTCTGGGTGATTTTAGAGTAACTCTGCATAACAAGAGTAACACTGGAGTATCAATGGAAATTCCAATACTTACAGATAGCAGAGATATTGATTTATACACTGTATCTGTATTTATAAAACACATTGGATATTAGTTAAAAGATACAGAACAATGTACTCACCAATTATTTGTGGTTTTGGCACCATAACTTGCTTCACCTCCTGAAAAAAGGGAAAAAATTCAACTGACAAAATATGACCTTTCGTTACTAAATGGTTGGCAACTTCAGTGTTAAGAGAAGTCCATATTAGTCACGTTATATATAATGAGTTGTGCCCCTACTACTGCATCAGGATAACAATATATCCTCTAGTTGATGTCACAATAACAATGCCTTTAGTTAACACTGTGCAGCCATAAACAGAACTTGATCACTGCTCTTTTACAGATGTTGCCTAAAACTACAAAACAAGTAAGAGCAAAGTAAAGCTATGGAAAGTTAGCATTTCCTTTACCTGTGACCAGAAGGAAGGAACCGATCCTCTCAGCTGGACATAAGATGTAAATCTGCCACTCTTGAATGACAGTACTGAGGCATCATGGACAATCTGTTCTGTCTCAACTTCATTAGCTACATTTCCCTAAATAAGCAAACTTTACGGTAAATAACCAATGAATGTTTCTGGGTGATGAGATAGTGACATACTTTTTTTTTGCCTTTGCCTTTACTCCTTTTCTATCTTTTTGCTGCAGTTTTTGATCTTCTACTGGGCTTGCTTCCAGTTCCTCAGAAAGTATCAGTGACATGGGAAATTCTTACCACAAAGTACTCAGTAGCCAAGTGTAGTTAAGGAAAATTTTGCTACACGTTTTTCACTCAAATTTCTAAGCATTTTTGTGCATAATTCACGGTCAATCACTCTGATCTGGGTATCACTGGAAAGATTTTTTCCTACTGCAAAACTCTGTCAGAAAGGGAACAAAGGCCAACGATCATCATGGGTGGTTACAGGTGGCACATGCATCAACCAGACAGAACCTCTTAAATAATAGGAAAATATTACAATACTGGCTACCATACATAACAGTAAGGTACGGACCTCATCATTAGCTCCTCTCTTCAAAAATCTGGTTCCAGCAAACTCCTTTGACCTTCGCGCTATCAGTGTCACATATATAGGTCGTCCATAAACACAAATATCTATGTACCACATGTTAAGAGTGTTTAGGGTTACTCATAAACTATATATAGTGAAGAATGATCATCGCAGTAAATTTTCAAATTTAAGCAATAGGAAAGAAGAAGCCTGAAAAAAAATCAGGGCTTCAACGGGATTTGAACCCGTGACCTCCGCCATACTGGTGCCATGCTCTACCAACTGAGCTATGAAGCCACACATTGGGAGCGAGGTCAATTAATTGAGTTCATATCTTCCCGTGAGGAGTGAAATGATGTGAAGTATATATGAAATAATTCATATTTGAACTGTGGTTGTAGATAGTGAAGAATGATCATAGTAGTAAATTTTCCAATTTAAATTGCTTAAATTGGAAAATTTACTGTGATGACCATTCTTCACTATCTACAACCCCAGTTCAAATGTGAATTATTTCATATATACTTCACATCATAAACTATATAATTATAGCTATTTTCAAAAGATAAATTTAAAATAAATTATTTTTGTTTATCAAAGAACATAAATGTAACAGGTGTACATGAACATAGGAATAAGTACATTCTGTTACTTTAGGTTCACTTGTCCACCCAAACATATTCATTAGCAAATTCAAAATATTTTGCTTGGACACTCGTGTTGAACACAGGGGATTCTTAAGGGCCAGACAATGGGTAAATTGGCTGTGAACATAACCTCCCTTCTTCTGGCTTGAAATCACAATGAAACCACCATGAATAGGCTCAATTCCAACCTGCTGTTCCGGAAATGAGCTGATTGCTCCTCCCCCGAACTAACTATGAGTTGATATTCACAAGTAAGTTATAATAAAGGCGCTAACAGAACTTTCCAGAACACTGATTAGGAATAAATAAAGCCACTGAATCCAAAAGGTCCTATAAAATGCAGTCTGCTCATTCTCAGTTATATTACTAAGTACAAACATTCAAACAAAAGGATACCAGATTGCCCGACAAAGCCATTAACAATGTGGAGAATCCAGTCAGGGTGGACTGCACCCTCAAAGCCACACAGTAAATGTCGGTTCCATGCAAACTTGGCACATGACTTGTTCTTTCTCAGGAATACCTTTTCTTTCCTTTGTCTCAGTTTCTTGCATTCTGGACAACTAGTTACTTTACTAGTGTAACTATCTTTGACAGGATCATCAGTACTTGTGTTAACCTCTGTTTGAACCTCTGAAATATGTGTGCTCTCTTTTGCTGGCGAATTAGTAATGTCATCAATAGAACGGCTCTGTTCATTTCCATTTGTATTCACGCTTTTACTTGCACTGTTTTCATCACTATTACTGGTGAGCCTACCATTAAAATTTCCATCATTTTCTTCCTTCTCAGTGCTGTCTGGTATCACATCACTACATTGCACTTGTTCATCACCAGTGCTCATATCATTCTTTAATTCACCAGCAGAGACTGGATCACCACATGGTGTAGTTTGATCAAGCATTCTGTCCTCANCAAGAAAAAATTAAACAGAAAGTCAAATTTGTTATGCAAAGTTTGATGCTTTTGACTGTTTCACAAGGCCTTCATTCAGTAAGCAAATAATTTACATTTCACACAGTTGCTTAGATTTTAAAGTTTTCAATTTTTTTGTCAGTAATTTTAAAACAGGTAAAGTACTGACCATGTATTGCATTGGACTAAAAAGTGGCTGTACAAGAAGTTATCAAACTTGACTACTACTTCATTATCTTCACAGATTGAACTTGATTTAAAAGGTGTTAACTGGTCCTGAACAAATAGGATCATTACTGTACCTAAAATAAAAGTTACTTGAGAGATCAACATTTTGAAAGATCTTCACATATCTGAAACAAGAAAAGCTCAGTTAAAACAAAAAGAATATGTAACATTCAATGAGTTAAGTTGACCTAAACACCGCACAGCAACTGAAATGCATCAGACTTTTAATATCACTTCAACTGTGACACATGCGGTAGTCTGATCAGACTCTACAATATTACATTTGCTATATTACAAAATGAAAAATAAAACATGACAAATTTATATAGCACTTACTTGGATTCATCAGGGTGTTGGAACTTTTGTCTGACCAGTTCATTTGCAATTGGAATCAGCTTTGTGTCCTCAATCTTATAGATACTGTGTCCACCAATTTGAGCTTCCCTGAAATGTTTTTTACCGCACATTTGAATAATTTTGTACCCTTAGGACCGATTTAGAGGGTACGACTTTGTCGCATGCGACAAGTTTACGACAGGCCTACGACATGAATTGTTTCATGTAAATCAAACCTACAACTCGCTTACGACTGTTGTGTATGTCAAAAAAATGTTGTAGAATTTTAAAACACATTTTAAAACGCTGCGACAATTGTAGCTGAAATCGACAGAAAATGATGTATTTTGTGACAAATTTCTACTGAGTAGGGGACGAAGGAGAAGTTTTCTTGCATCAAAATGTTGGATGAGGTTGTCCTTGACTGATTCACATGAAGTTGTTTCTCGAAAAGTACTGAACGGATTAAAGCGAAAAACATCTCATTAGAAAGTTTTTTAAAAGCACAGGTCAACCATTTGTTAGAACTTTCACTCTGTAAATCCTGGTGCAAACTTTGCATATTTAATTTTGTAAGTGAAAATGTTGTGCGTGTGTCAATTGTCCTAAGTCATGTAGTAGGCCTGTCGTAAGCTTGTTGCATGCGACAAAGTGGTACC